ACCCATGTCAGGAATCGAACCCGGGTCTTCGGCGTGACGAGCGAACGCTTAAACCACTACGCAACCCGACCGCCCCTTCTTGTCGTAAGAGGCATCTTTATGGAACGCGTGGTCGATGTCTTGGTTGATGGCGTCATCATACTCTGACGGAATGGATCGTTGCTCATAATGTACATCCAATTTGATATTAAAACAACAAACAACACATAAACCAAAGTAAATAAAAGTGCACGGTGCTGAATCTAGTTGAAAATGGACCCATTATGTAAAACAATTATTATTACAAAATCCAGATTAAATTAAAAACAACAATCACTCTTCAATCGCCAAAAAGTTCTGTCTCATCATTTTCATTTTCCGCCACATATGGTTGAAAAGGAATGAAGTGTGACTTTCATTTTGACACCTATTGGCGTTCTAACGGAACAAACTATCATGGTCTGTCTTGTTTAGTGGTTCGCTCTATCCTCAGTTCGAAGTCCTGATAGTCTTTAAGTCCATGTGGTCCGCCGTTCTTATTATCTCCTCCAGTTATCAATAAATGCCAATCTCAGTTATTTTTGTATTTTGGTTTATCTTTCTATGCCTTCGTGTAGAAGACGGAATGTCAGGTGCGATGTATTATTTCGATGCGAGAGATTTGTGTTCAAATCGTCAAAATCAAGAGTTACTCAGGAAATACAATATAGAATACATCATGTGAAAACACCAGTCACCGGGTACATGTCGTGCTTTATCAAGAATAATCGAATTTTCGTGATGATTAATCATGCGTTTCCACTAAACGATCTTATATTTCACTCTGGAATGTGAATAGTGTCTAAAATGTTCGATAAGCATCTTAATGTTGTGGCCCTAACCTTCATTTCTATTCCCGAAAGTAATATATTTTATGTGAAAAACGGTCTTACCATGAAATGTCTTCTACATGTTATACACTCGTGATTTCCCTGTTTCCAATGTCGAACTTCTCGTTTCTCGTTTTTCATCTCTTTTTGATTTTCTAGATTTTCTTAAACACTCACTTTATATATATATACATATATAACCATTTGATTTGGGGGGTTGGGGGAGGTGGGGGCAATGTCCTTGCAACAATGTCAATGTTTGTGGCACGCCTTGTTTTGCCAACACCCTGAAGCATAATTCTTTTCAAGAATTTTTAGTGGCATCTAATTTTATTCCCAGCAAGTAATTGCCATATGCAGTGATTGCGTGTAGCGTTGCTCATGATATCAATCACTGGATTGTCTTGTCCATACTTGATTATTTACAGGCCACCATCATATAGCTGGAATATTGCTGAGTGCGGCGTTAAACAACAAGCCAACACATAGAATCTAGAATAAGGCGTCAGTGAATCATTGTGTTTCCTACTGCAACGAAATGTGCATGATATCAGGGCCATTATCAAACATACAAACATACAAACACACGTTACGATCACCATCGACTGTCAGGAATTCAACGTCACCATTGTCAAACACAAAAACGCATATTACGACTTGTACCCACATGCTTGGGTTACGCACGTTCAATTTATCTGGTATTTTTCAAGCCCGTGAGTGTTTTTAAGCTGTGACAAGGTATAAGATCAAATACATTAAAAAATGTTGACAGTAGGTGTGCATATCAAGTCGAGGGTGGGATCTGGAACAACCCATTTTCGTTGTGCTAAGAATGAATGCATCTGTCGTCATTTGCTTTGTTTACTTTTTTCATGATATCATCTGCCATATTTAAATAATTTGATCCTATTTCAATCCTATTCGGTACGTGATTTCTTTGTGCTCGTGATATATGGTCAACTAAACACTGGATATCAATCAGTGTATCCGGTGACAGTGCGCAGAAAAGCGAGTAAATTGGACTCTTAACTTTTTAGTTTTATCAGCTGAAAAAGTAATTACTTTTGTTAACATTAGATTTATAGCACACATTTGTTGAAAAGTTAATACCTTAGATAAATTCACACTCGTGTCCCTGTCACGTGATAAATATAACACGGCCACAAACATAGAAACGACAACTCCGAAATTCTTTTTAACGTCAGTGAGATGTTTGCGAATGAGTGCACATGTCATGCACTTTAAAAAAACCTAGCCATCGTAAAAGAAGGTTATTGTTATTAGTCGGTTGGATTATTCTAACATAGGGTTAAATTCAAGTTAATCTTAGATGACATTTTCAGTGCGTGGCTGATATCCTTGCTCTAGTGAGTGAGTTGGGCTTAACGCCGCTTTTAACAATAAACTTGATGTCGGAGGATAGCCGACGATTGTTTTAGACGTTTATTAGAAATTTGGTGAAACCCATGGGCATAGGTGTGGTGCTGAGACACCAACGACCATAAGCAGTGCGATTCTAGGATTTGAACACATCATAATTGGATCCTGGTAAAGTAAGGGACGCTACTCTGCATAACTAATTCGTCTTTTTGGCCACCCGTACACTATGAACAAATTACAGGGAAAGCCCGATTACCCTGGCCCTGTCGATCCAGAAAACTCGCTTTCCTAACAATCGTTAGGAAAGCCAAAAATCGTGCTTTAAGCCTTAACAGTGTTTCGTTAATCCGGAAATAGGTTAATCCGAAACATTTAACACGAAACGGTAACGTCCGGAATAAAGGATTTCACAGTATCGCAAAAGGCTTAAATATATAATTTTCATCTTCTGAGTTGACAAACAATCCAAACAAAAAGAAATATGTATTGTAAATCTAGTGTTCTCGTTGACGTGTTTTGGAAGATATGTCTTTAAAAGGAAGCAATCGACTAATACCCACAGGCTGGAAGACCTAAAGTAACACGTGACATAAATACGTCACAATGGAATTCCTTTTCTAGCATTGGTGTGGAACTACCAATTAGAAAATAATAAACGCTGAAATGGAACGGCAATGCAAGCCTTGTTTAAGGATTAGGCAGCGTTTAGAATAAACGCTTGTTGCCTGCCTTTAAATGAAACCTTGTTGGTATACCATCTACTGTGACGACTGACAACATGTGTCCACAGTGTCAGGTTTCTGACATAAAGCATCTGCCCGGAGAGCCAAGGGTTGGTGGTTCTACCAAATGACGTCAACAGATGGTACTTGTTGTTTCACTGCTCGGCATTCAGGGGCTAAAACAAGGACTGGTCAACTGGGAGCCAGTATACTGTGTCTGAGTTGGGTATCCATGTTAAACTGCGGCATCGTAGCTTAGTTGGACAGCGCTATAAAACCGCTAGAAGTCCGGACTAGTAATGAATAAGTGCAATCATCGTGATCGCGAAGTTAAACCCCATTTCAACTCACCTGATATATAGTAGTATGATAATTATTCCATTCTCTCAAATGGAGGCTGAATCAGTTGTGAATAGTATTCCCAGATCAAGCATTGACGTGCAATCCTTAAACTTGGACCATGTATGTTGTTTATGCTCAGGAATGTTGAACACAGAATGGGTGAGTGAACGCTATTGTACTCTGAAGGCAGCATTACTACCTGAAAATCGTGGAGTGTGTGGATAATCGAGTGGACCAGATCAAGCATTGGCTGATAGCAAGGGCAACTTTCCACGCCGTCAGGAACGACGACACACAACCAGTAAGATCACATTAGTAATCTAAGCCTAAGTAGCTCTTACAAAATGTATGTTGGGGATCAATTTTTACTTTGAATATCAACTGAGTAAGGCACGACAAGTCTCAGGACTGAAATAAAAGGTATATGTATATACTGAACTACATATGGACCTGGGTCACAGATTTGCGTCCCTTAGACGTGCCAGAAACCTATGATCGTGGGTTCGAATCCCAGATTCGCCTTGATAATATGGTCAGCATCATACCCGTGCTCATGGGAATAATGGTAAACGTCTAAGACTTTTATCACTTCGGCCTTTCCTCACACATTAAACTGATCCGATATATTACTGAAATATTGTTCAAAGCGGCCACATGAACCACCTGTGAACCTTTGCAAGATCGGATCAGCTTTGTTATAGTAGCTAAGTCATTATGTGTTGCAGACTCTCTGCATCCATGTGGACCAGACGTTTGTCTATGTCAAGCCATGTATATCCAGACAGTCGTTTACATGTGTTTGAATAGAGATATGACCCAGTATACAATACCGTGTACGTGCAGACATAATTATATATATGTATGAATAAACTTTCTATATATACACTTAAACTGATTACATGTACTTGCTCAATTAAAATTAATATCGATTTCCTTCATCAAACACGTGTGCGTTCAATTATATTCTACTGATAGAGTTATAGTTTTTTTTATTATTCATAATATTCGTTTATCTTTAAGAAAAGCCCGTTAAAGTCACGGTTAGCAAGTTAATACAACTCAAGGTCAGGGCTGTCAATCAGTGAGTTAGTGGAATGTTTGCGGCTTGTCCTGTGTTAAAAGTTTATGGTTCACTCTGATGTTAGGCAAGTGTATACTGGTTTGTTGGAAAGAGTAATCACGTTTCTCCCATATATCACGTTTAAATAGACAAGACCTCATAACTCGGGTGTCATACACTGTATCGATTTGCGTGGGAGGCAAAACACAGAAATCTTCTCCCTCATCACACCGCCTCGAGGATGAATGTTGGTTGATCGCTTCACGACCCGTTCCCATTGTGTAGTGGATTCAGAGGTTGAAGAATCATACTTAAAAACGTAGAGTGTCCTATGAATTTTTACTGCCTTAGTGCGATATTACGCTGTCGATCTCAAGCCCAAGGATACAACCTGGTAACATTGATAGGGATAAGCGCGTTGTGAACGCACGCAGAGCTCTCGTATTGCACTCCCCAGTATTAACATTGATTCCCATGCTAATGTGTTCAAGCGCCTCTATACACGGGTTATGCGCGCAAAAGCACATCCTAAGTTTATTTCACTGAAAATGACCTCAGTGGGATTACACCTGAACATAAAGTGCTAAATGTTGCATAAGTGGTTCTTCAGCAGACAGCTTGCTTGATTTGTCATTGTAGTTGATAAATTGATAGTTGTACAAGCTGGACCGCGTGCGCGGTGTTGTAATCGTGTAACGAGGTTTGGGTGAGGGGTAGGTACAAGTGTGGAGAGTTTTTCTCTTGATAGTGTGTCTGTCAATCGTTCTTGTATAAAGTGTAATTACGGCTGCATTGTTGACTGGGTTAAACAGGCGAGGCGCAACGCTGATTTGTGTTCGTGGTCTTGGATACTTGTATCAACAGTTGGGCCGGGATGTGTGTACGTGTTTCGGTAGCAGCAGCCTCGCCTCAGCCGACGTGAGCCCTCATGGTAAGGCCCTGCACAGTCGCACGCTGCTACCTAACAATGGGGCGCCGACGAAGGTGCTGATTGGTCAAACAAGAAGCGCCAAAATTCCTTGGGTGTTTTTTTCAAGAGAATACCGCCCTCTGGTGATGTTAAGGAGGCAGACGTCCCCACAAGCTTCAAGTCCACGTGGTCATGTGACCAAGCGACCGTCTGTCGCTTTCTGTTCATGTTCGTCGTCAAGGAAGATACTGGAAGACCAAGCGATGCATTGTCGGCGAGAAACCGGTCGTTCCCCAACTATGTTCAGTATAGCAGAAGGGGGTTGTGATTACGTCTAGTCCTGCGACTCTGCTACGGGACAGTTAATGTAGATACTATTCAAGCTGCGAGCCCCGCGCCGCACTTCCCATGGACACGCACGTGAGTTGGCTCCTGAAAATCAGTCTCGTGCTCCTACTTGTCGGCGTCGCCTATCCCTCCCGCCCCTCGCGACGACGACAGCAGCAGCAGCAGCAGCAGGACTCGGCAACGCAAGGTAGGTGATGTTTCGTGTTTTCATTTGTCATCACTTCAGGTTTGGCACTCATCTGGCCCGGAATCCCAAGTGTTTGGTATCCAATGAGAGTTTGTCTCATGTCAAGCCCGTGATTCCCCAACCCCCTCGCTATTCCGTGGCACATCTTGAAACATGTGTTCGGCAGTCCTGACAATCATGTGTGACTATCGCTTAGGTCTTGAGATTTTACTCAAGCGTTATATTAGATATGTCACAAAAGACAGCATATATTCAAGATATGTCACTTCCAGTTGACACAGCGACGTACTCTTGTCGTACGAAGCGACTTTATAGTTGGGTGGTCATGCTCTGTGACTTGGTTGATTACTTGTCATATCGTTCCTCGACGTTGATCGTTGCTCATAATATCAATCACTGGATTATCAGGTCCAGACTCGATTATCTACAGGCCGCCATCATCTATTGTTTGTTTGTTGTTTATCGCCGCACTCAGCAATATTCCAGCTATATGAAGGCGGTCTGTAAATAATCGGGTCTGGAACAGACAATCCTGTGATTGATATCATGAGCGTCGATCCACGCAGTTGGGAAACGATGACATGCATCGCCTCTTAAGACAGCATAGTCGCCTGTTACGGCAAGCATGGGTTGCTGAAGACCTATTGTAACCCGTGACCAAACCCACGGTAAATAAAACTGTGGTTGGTACGTTTTATCGACGAGCCATACCGTGGCTACGCTAACATGTATCAAGTTAAACATAGCAAACAGTGTAACCTGTCAATTTTGTAATCTGAAAAGCACAGAGTATGGCGAATCTTCGGTAGTACTTAAAGCTGCCGTCTGGCTGAACTGTTCTATTGTCATACGCCAGCCGCGGGGATTCTGGTACTGAACAGGTCCTCAGTATGGGCTGTTGGTCTGGCAATTTTAGAAGTTTGTAAGTAACAGTAAAGACAAGATATTTTATGGATGACAACTCATGGCATCATGATAGAAAAAAGAAGTTGTCATCTAGAAACTATCTTGTCTTTACAGGTCTTCAGTACCCAAAGCCGATTAGAGTGATTATCGGTAGGTCACAATGTGTGACCGGACTGTAAAGTCATCGTGCCTCGACCGCGTGCATCGCTGTCCATGCCATCGACCACTGGCTTGCCGGTCGCCCATGGTGCAGTTTGAACATTCACTCTCACTCAGGGTCACCTTCCCAGATGGAATCGATTCCCAATACTAATAGGCGACCGTTAAGCCTGGGTATCGCGTGGTCAAAATGTCAGCCGAGTCAGGGTAGTATGTTTCAGCTGCTTTTGGCTGCCGAGGCAATATCCTTTGCTCATAGGGGGCACGGGTGGCCCAGTCGTCTATTGGGCGCGCCAGAAACCTATGATTGTGGGTTCGAATCCCAGTCCGCCCCGATTATGTTTCTAGGTTTGTCAGCACCATATCCGTGCTCGTGGGTTTCACCGAAGTGGGAAAAGTCTGAGACCTGCGTCATTTCGGGCTTTCCTCCTACATTAAGCTGACACGCCGCGATATAACTGTAATATTGTAAACCCAACTCACTCACTCAGCTCCGGGATGCGGACGCAGAATAGGCCCTCAGTACACAGAGCTTCTTGTTTCGATCTGACTAAAATGAAGATTGATTGGTCGTAAGTTGATTGTGTGTCATCGGACCCCGACAGCACGTTAGTCCCGCTTGCAATGAACCATTAGTTTTCTTTGCCAAGTCCCCATGATTCAAAGCTTGTCGTGATATAACTGGAGTAATTCTAACTGCGGTTTAATTAGATTTAAGTCACTGCCATGTAATACTACAGAGTGTTGCTTGAACCAGCGTTCATTGTCACTCACTCTTCTATTCATATTCCGAGACCGAATAGATTCCGAATGCTTTAAGGCGAGGGTGGTGGGGTAGCCTATTTGTTAAGTCTTTGGTTGTCACATCAAAGGCCCGGGTTCGATTCTCCACATGTGTAAAATGTGTGAAGCCCATTTATGGTGTCCCCCGTCGTTTTATTGCCGAAATATTGCTAACAGGGCGTGAACTCCAACTCATTCACTCACTTACAGGCGACTTTGTATAAATGTTCTGTGTGTGGGTAGCGTTTAACTAAGAAGTGACATTTTATGTGTGGCTGATTGAAGTGTTGTGTAGCCCGCATACACGCATACAAAACTCTCATACACAGATGTGATGTTGCTGACGACGCTTCCATCCCCATCTCAGTCTCCTTCCCCTACTCAGTCCACATCTACACCCTCATCTCCGTCACAGTTACTATCCCCCTCACTGAGTCTCCACTTCGATCCCCATCTCAGTCTCCACCTCCATCACAGTGTCAATCCCCGTCTCAGTCTCCTTAACCACAGTATAGATAGTCTACCCTATCTCCATCCCAGTCTCACAGTGTCAATCCCCGTCTCAGTCTCCTTAACCACAGTATAGATAGTCTACCCTATCCCCATCCCAGTCTCACAGTGTCTGTCCCCATCTCAGTTTCCCTAACCACAGTATAGATAGTCTACCCTATCCCCATCCCAGTCTCACAATGTCAGTCCCCATCTCAGTCTCCTTTACCACAGTATAGATAGTCTACCCTATCCCCATCCCAGTCTCACAATGTCAGTCCCCATCTCAGTCTCCTTAACCACAGTATAGATAGTCTACCCTATCCCCACCCCATCTCTGTCTCCACCTCCGTCCCAGTCTCACAGTGTCAATCCCCATCTGTCTCCACCTCCGTCACAGTGTCAATCCCCATCTCATAATCAGTCTCCTTAACCACAGTATAGATAGTCTACCCTATCCCCCTCACTGAGTCTCCACTTCCATCCCCATCTCAGTCTCCACCTTCATCACAGTGTCAATCCCCGTCTCAGTCTCCTTAACCACAGTATAGATAGTCTACCCTATCTCCATCCCAGCCTCACAGTGTCAATCCCCATCTCAGTCTCCACCTCCGCCACAGTGTCAATCCCCAGCACACTCTCCTTAACCACAGTATAGATAGTCTACCCTATCCCCATCCCATCTCAGTCTCCACCTCCATCTCAGGCTCAATCCCCATATCATTCTTTCTCCTCCACCACAGTGTCCATAGTCTTCCACAGTTTTCCAGCGAGCGGCGGGGTAGCCTAGTGGTTAAAGCGTTCGCCGAAGACGCGGGTGCGACTCCCCACATATGGAGTGTATGGAGCCCATTTCTGGTGTCGGCCTCCGTGATATCGCGGCGTAAAACTATACTCCCACAGTTGTCCCCCCATCTCAGTCTCCGTCTCCATCTCAAACCCACCTCCGTTTAAGTCCCCCCACCCAGTCTCCAATCCTCCCCCCCCCCCACCCCCCCACCCTCTCCCCCTCCCCACATGATTACATAGATTTTTCAAATGTTTCTTTTCTTTGAACGAATTCGTTCCCATTCAAATAAACTACATCGGTCTGGCGTCTTTATTTGTTCGTAAAACGTAACTCTACCCTGTGCCAATTTATCCTAAGCCTATGAATTATTATTTCATTCAAACCTAATATTGCTTAAGATGAGCATCAGACGAATGTCGGACGTTATTACCTCAATCAATCTCGTCATCCTCTACAAATCCAATTAAGATGGAATCATTCTATAAAACTTCCTCCATACGCCCACACAACAAACTGTTTTGAGTCTACCAAGATATTAGTAAAGTATGTCATTGCAGTTTTTTCGGTGTTGTTCACGTTTCGTCCTTCCTGACTCGTCTACGTATCCTTGATGGAACGTTACGAGGAAGACAAACCGGACGCGTGCTCATCGCACCATTAAAGTTGACGGATATGATCTCTTTGTTTTTCGCGTACAGATATAATTAGAGAGTGATGTTTTCTGCAATGTAGGGTTTCCTTGCACTGTGATTCGATTCTTGATACCGGTGTCATGTTGGGATGGGTTGGGCTGGATCATAATTTCCGAAAAATTATTCATATACCTTAATTCGTAAGCATAAAAACGTTAATATTGTCTAATAAAACAGATTAGCCGGGTTAAATGAGTCTGTAAGTAACGTGACCAACTCCGACCGTCTGACCGTAGAGCGGAAGATTAATTGGCGGTTCGATTCCAAGCCGCGTCATACCAAAAGACGTTAAAAGATGGTAGTACTATTCGTTCGTAGCCTTGCTGGTGCTCAGCATTGAGGGTATAAAACAAGGACTGGTCTGGTCGCCTCTGAATCATTATACTGTGCCTGAGGTGAGGTGAAATTGGATGTAACGTCGCGTCCAAGGTTATTGCACTCATATTGCAACATGCATGCACGTGTGTGTGTGGCTGCTTGTAATAGTCCGGACTGATGCCGATTTTTAGTGCTAGCTCACTGAGATACCATGCCGCAGTTCAACATAAATATCCCACTCAGACACAGTATACTGACTCCGAGCCGATCAGTCGTTGTTTTAGACCCTTAATGCCGAGCGCCAGACAGGGTAACGACAAGTACCATCTTTTAACGTCTTTTGGTATGGCGCGGCAGGGGATCGGACTCCAGACCATCCCCTCTTCGGGCGGAGGCTCTAACACTAGACCCCGGAGGAGGTCATACTGTGTCTGAGTTTCAACTCAGCCGTGAGGAACGTCGGCCAGTGTAGCTGTAAAAGTGGTGATACGACCTTAAGAAATAAACAGTCGCTCTTTGTAAAGGGTGAACACGAGTGTCTGGTCGACTGCAGGCGCCACTATTCGCTGTGCAGAGTTGCGTCCCTTAGGCTCACCAGAACTCTGTGGTCATAGGTTCGAATCCCGGCTCGTCCCGATTATGTTTTAAGGTTTGTCTGCACCATGCTCAAGTCAAAGACCATCATCACAGAATATCTGGAAATAGTTAAATACGGCTTACACTTTATTTCCCTACAAAATAGCCTTTTAAAAAAATCGTATTCTGTAATAATTTATTAACGAAACACATTTGTTTGGCTTTTTAAACTGACCTACTTATTTTAATATATAGACATCGAATTCTATTATAAAGGCATGTTTTGT